TAAAATTCTCTAAGCTCAGGCCATATAAATGCAAACTATGGATATGTAAAACTTCGTGGCAATGGTGTCTACATTTTGTATTCACAAATCAAAGCTTAACAATGCCTAAATATGAAGATAGAAGTTCAAGAAAAATACCTCAAAACTGGAAATCGTGAAATGGATTTGAGCTTGTTTCAGGCAGTGGTGATGATCAGGTTAGCTTCCTTGAACCTCCAGGAAGCTATTGCAAAGCTTACTTTATGTTGAGAGTTCTTGAATCAAGATGAAGAAGTCAATGTGCAATGCCCTGTTTTTGAAAATGGAGGATGGTGCAAATGGTATTACAGTTTGAAAACATGGGTTGGGATAGCTTTTATATGTGTATTAGAAGCTTTGTGGATGGTTTGGCCAAGAAACGCACGAGGGGATTTGGAGATTGGGTTCAAAAATCAGAAATGACAAGTTTTTGTGCTTGTATGGAAATTTCTGGTTTTGGGGAGTTTGAGGGCTTGTTCAATCTTGTGTTCTGTTGCAATACACTTGTATGGTTATATGAAAAAGATTAGAGGACTTGAGGAGGTCAGAAAAGCAAGATATAGACTTATGGCTATGTTACTTGATTTTGAAGAAAAGTGACAATATGGTTCCAAGATGAAGTACAAGCATGGCCTGAGTTTATGGAAGGCTCTAGACATGTTTCTTTTTCCTTTGACATTGCTTGTAATCATAAGGAACAAGTTATGATCTCTATGCATTGACTTTATGATTAAAGCCTCTTTACAAGAATGGAATGGTTACTTTGTGCCATAAATGGAAAATTTGCTTGGATAAAGCTTGAATCAAGTGGATAATAGCTCAAAAGCAAGTGTAATATTCTGATTATGGAGAGATCTTGAGGTTTAGAGGCCTACAAAGCAAGATTGTGCAACATAGGTTTGAAATTGAATTCTTGTTCATCACAAAATGACTTGTAATTCAAGTGTGAAAACCCTAACTTCATCTTTTTTATTCTCCCTTTAAAGAATGATCTCAAAGAGTTCTTGGATATTTTGGAAAGATTGTAATATTCTCTAAAACCCCTATTTGAATCACTTTTGAAAATTCCCCTTGGAACTATATGAAAAAGTGCCATGAAGTTAGGTCAAAATCCTTATCAAAAGTAGGGCAAAATTTCACTAAGTGTTCAATTTCAAGACCATGACTTTGTGAATTAATAACTTGAGATCCAAGCATTTTTAGAACAAGTTGTGTAAATAAATATTGTATATATCATGGATATCTATAACTTTCATGTTGAAAGTTTCTTCCGAATCCTCTTGCATCATGGTGAAAAATTGGCTCAAAGTTATGAAAAAATATGAAGTTTTAAACACTTAGAAAAATTTCTAAGTTAGAAAACTTTGACTTTTCAAAATGAAATATTGACTTTTTTATTTCTTGATGAATAAATTTCATATTTTTACATGTTTTGAGGAATTGTGATATTTGACATTGAATTTTGACCAAAAAGTAAATGTTTGACTTTTCAGTGTACCATTGGCTTTTGATCAATTGACTGGAAATTCACTATCAATCCAATTGATCTTGAGCAATGTTTTAGGTCGTACCATTAGGTCAAAATGATGCAATTGAACTCTTGAAATCATAATTTGAACCAATTGACAATTTGCTAGGTCAAAAATCAGAAATTGCCATTTCTCAGTCAAAACCCTAATTTTGACCATTTTTCCCTTTTGATGATTTGATCAAATTTCTTGAGGAATTATGGTCCAAACTTGATCAAATGATACATATAAGTTTATAATGTTGATGTGGATAAAAAATTATGAAGTTTGACTATAAATTGGCCATAGTTGACTTTTTCCCCAATACAGCTGATTTTTAGGTCAACTGCTCAATTGACTGAGCAAAAGTGTGATCCAAGGCTTGAAACTTGACATGAGTAATCTTGAGGGTCCATAATGATCCATGAAAGTCATATGAAGCACTGAAAGTTCAATTATCCTTGTGCAATCTCAAACTCTAATTTTGGTCATCAGTGCTTAAGGAGGTGTCTTGAGCTGATCAACCCTAGTGCAGTCTTGAACCAAAGGAGATCTTGTAGGAAAATATTTGATAAGTGAGAGGGCCACTACGCCAAAAAATACTTACGAAAGCGCTTTTTTTGGCCTTTAAAAGCGCTTAAAAGCGCTTTCATAGATGGCGCTGCTATAGGTTTTAGCAGCGCTTTTTGTTTAATGAAAAGCGCTTTCATAGGTCTACCTAAGGCAGCGCTTTTTTTATGGAAAAGCGCTCTCATAAGTTTTCTTTTAGCAGTGCTTTTTTCTGGAAAAGCGCTGTCTTAGGTAGGCTTTTAGCAACGCTTTTTTCTGGAAAAACGCTTTCATAGGTGGTCTTTTAGCAGCGCTTTTGCCTGGAAAAACGCTGTCATATGTTTACCTTAGACAGCGCTTTTTGTGAAAAAGCGCTTTCATAGGTTACCTAAGGCAACGTTTTTCTTGAAAAAGCGCTTTTATAGGGTGTTTTTTTTAGAGGTATAATTTATATAATTCATATACCTCCATTGTTTGCAGCATATTATTTATATAAACCAGTTGCCATAACCTGTAATTTATAAACCGCGGTAATGCATTGTATACCATTGTAATCCAAAATATATATACATCATTTTTGTACCTCAAAATATATAAAAACCATTGTTATCAGCATTGTAACTCAAAATCAGTCTTACAAAATCAACCCTAACAACAACTAAACCAGTCCTAATGTATGAAAGAAACACGGTCAATTATGTATTAATGTCCTGGTCCTGCGAGGTTTGAACATAATAACACGATCAATATGGTATTCCATGTACACATGTAACGTATTCATAACACTTTTCACATAATAATGTATTCATACCTTATATGATTCTCTGCTCAATAAAATATTGACACAATTCCTCTTTGATTTCTTCCAACTGAAGTTTCGTGTAATATGCACATTTGTATTCATCGAAGTACTACATAACAAAACATAATATGCATGATTTAGTTAAAAGTAAAAAATTATATGAAATATCCGAGAAATAACAAAACAAATCCTAATTTATAAATCCATACCGTGACTGGAATCTCTATTTGATTCAGTTGAAGGATTTCTTTGATAAACCGCATAATGAAGTATCAGCAATCTATACTGTTTTGCTGTTGAGGACACTACATAGAAAAACAAATAAGAATATATAGTTGTATTGTTTTATCAAATAGCATAAATATTATAAGCAAAATAGTGGAAATTAATATACCTGCACTTTGATTCAATTAATGTTGTTTGATTTAGACCGCCGTACCCGAGCTTCTATTTGACACCGGAATACTTGTATCGCTCTAACAAAATAAAAATATATTTTTAGAACAATGTCACAGAAATAATTAAATATATAAATACACATAAATATTTAGAATAATCTCACTTACGTATCAATCATTAACTTCATATTCGGATAATTTGTCCAATCACCGTCAACCGAATTCAGATAGTAAACTACTTCTTTTATAGGATCGATAGCAACCAACAACCAGTGACGTCTATAAATTAAAACAACAGTTTAGAAGAAATTTTTCTACGCAAAAATTACAAATATTAAAATGAACTTAGAATGAAAATCTAACCCTGTAGGAATAGTATTATACGCCCAAAGATATAAGCTTTATGTACTGCCGGTTGCCATGAATCTTTCGACTAAGTGCTCTCTTACTGAATCCGGATCCCTACCAATTGTCGCTCCACTGACACGGGAGGAAGACACAAAATGGAATGTATTTGACAATTGATTCATGCGCATCAATTTGTCATATAACAACCTTAAATAAAAACATAATTAATATTAGACTATATTCATTGAAATGTTTAAAAAAAATTTCAGCTAATTACATAATATAAAGACGGGGTTACCGGATGTCGAAACTTTCCATCAACAATTCTTTCATCTGCATGCCAAGTTAAGTGTCTTGAATCGGTTTCACTACGATACATCCGTCTAAATCTCGGAATTATAGGAAAATACCATAAGACTTTTGTCGGAGACAACTTTTTCTTATATCGAGGGGTACCACATTTAGGACACTCATTTAACGATGCATACTCGTTTCGAAACAAAACGCAATCTTTTGGACAAACATGTATCTTGTCATAGCTCATGCCAATAGAGTACAACATCTTTTTGGCCTCATACGTTCGATTGGGGAGAACATTATCCTCTGGTAGCATATCTTTCATAAGGGCTAATAACTCTGAAAATTTTATCCGACCATCCATTGTTTGCCTTTAAGTTGTACAACTTTAATACCACAGACAATCTTGTGAATTTTGTACAACCATTATACAACGGTTTCTCTGCATCGCTTACCAACCTCTCAAACATTTTGGGACAATCATTAAGATCTTCTTCAAGCGCTTCTGCAATCTCTTCAACTCGATCATAATCGTATGTATCTGTGCCATTGTCGTTTGAAGCATATGTCCTATTATCCCCCGATTCATCATTCCTGTCACTTTTCTCACCATGCATATTCCAACATGTATAACTTCTATCAACTCCATACCGTATTAAATGCGATGCCAACTGAACCGCGTCAACCCGATTCCCATAACAGCAACACAAACAAGGACATGTCATTCGACTGGGGTCTTCGGCGTGCACAACAACAAACTTAACGAATTCCGATACCCTGTTCTCGTACTCTTTCGACAATCGATTGGAATACATCCATGTCTTATCCATGATTTTGAGCAAACTTAACAAATTCCGATACCCCGTTCTCGTACTCTATTAATATATTGTTTTTTTTCGTGTGATTTAAAAAAATGAAATATGACATCTCAATGTACTCGATAATTATTAAGCAATGAGGAAGAGGGAAACTAAAAGTCAATGTGTTCCTCTCACACAACTAGACTTTGTGCTATATAAATCTTGAAGCACCAATAGCTAACTTCATCATCACTCATTTCTCAAAGATACATACTACAATATGTGTGAGACTTCACTCACCTGTGCTCGAGAACAGTTGCTTCCATTAATAAAGGAAGCAGTCAACATGATTAGGGGTGTCCCTAAAGAAATTGCTGAAATGCAAGATGAACTTGAACGCATTGAAGACTTCATCTACGAAGCAGATAGAATGGCTGATTCACAGAAAGACAATACTAAGCACGAAATCAAAGCAATTATCAAACAGTTGAAAAGTTATTAATGTTGCAAATGCTTGTAAGACATCTTCTTTTGTTGAAGTGCTTGAGCTGAAAAGTTTAACTAAAGAACAATCTTTAGAATTGTTCAATAAGAAGGCATTCCATGATTTGAACGGATATTGTCCTGAAAATCTTATGGACATATCACACGAAAACCAGACAAACACATATGAGATGAGGAAAAAATGAAACCTGATACGAATTGCAGTTGGCCGGAGAAGTGGAGCACCGTTGACCGCCGTAGAAGCTCTGGTTTAGGGTTTTTTCGTGAAGAAAATCTGACTGAGAATAGAAAGTGATACGAATTGTGTTTTGATATTTATTATAAAACTACCTACGAAAGCGCTTTTAAAAGCGCTTTCTAAAGGTCATTTATAACAACGCTTTTACATCAAAAAGCGCTTTCGTAGCATATCCTATAGCAGCGTTTTTAAAAGCGCTTTCTAAAGGCCAGCTTTAGCAGCGCTTTGGAAAAGCGCTTTCTAAGGCTGACCTTTAGCAGCGCTTTTGAAAAGCGCTTTCTTAAGGTACCCTCTGAAAGGCCAGCTTTAGCAGCGCTTCCCAAAAAGCGCTTTCTAAGGGTGACCTTTAGAAGCGCTTTTGAAAAGCGCTTTCTTAAGGCACCCTTTGAAAGCGCTTTTTTAAGCGAATTTTTTTTAAAACTTACAGCAACGCTTTTTTTCAAAAGTGCTTTCTTTTATGTGCTGCTAAAACTTATTTTTGACGTAGTGGGTAAATTTTGGGGTACAACAGCTGCCCCTGTTCAATCTTCTTAAACCTGAAGAGTTAGATTGGCGGATCCGCCATTCGTGACTTGAAGGTGAAAGATGATTGAACACTAGAGTGCCTAGAAATTTGCACTCGAAGATGGATGGTGAATGGGCTTATAGATGCCATTTGGAGGAATGTTTGTAAACACTGGAAGAAGTATCAGCACAAACCTCTTGTTGATTTATACTAAAACTTGATGTTTTACCTGTGAGAAAAAGAGTTAGTAAAATGCATATGCCTGCATGATGTTCACCAGATGTGGTATCATGTTAAATACATATGGTATGTACATGCTATGATGTATGAATGTGAGATGTATGTTTTTGTCCGGGAAAATAAATCTCTGACTACTGTTGAGGAAATTCTGGAGGGTTGAATCCCTGATTGCCGTTGGGGCCGAAGAATATGCTCATCTTCAAACTTTGTTGAAAGGATGCTTTCGCTGGGAAATATCGCTTGAATGTCAACTGTTATCTGATCGGATTCAGGCTTCACAATTTGATGAGGATGAAGTAGTCAACTGCTATCTGGTCAGATCCAGACTTCACGGCAACTTACTAAGGGAAGAGACAAATTAACTGTTATCCGATCGGATTCCAGACTTCGTAGAAAATTTTCAATTTCGTAACCGTCATGTGTTGTTAACAATAGAAAAGCGGAAGATTTTTGAAAAAAAAAAGGATTTGGAACAAATTTCTTCATCCCACATAAAGCCCCGTCCCAATTGAAAGAAAAAATATACTTTTCTTATACCGTAGATTCAAATTAACTCACAAAGTTTTATACATTAGTAATTTTTAAAAATATAAAATCTAAACTAAATATAATCTTTCTCTGTTATATTTTAGTATAAAATTAGTTAAATCTTAATTCTTTAAGTAAATTGCAGGTTTTAAATTATTTGTTTTATTATAAAAATATAGCTATTTGTTTCCTTTTATTTTAGATTTATTTAAAACGGCGATTTACATTCACCTATAAATATTCTTTTTTATATAAATTAGGAATTTTTTGTGTTACTTATGTTAAACCTTCAAGTTAAAAAAAACTACACTATAACGATAAATTCTTCTTTAAAAAATTTAATACTCATTGTACTGAGGGTTGAGTTAAAACACAAAATTTTCATTACTCCAGAAGAAACCCTACCATCTTATGGATATTCTCTTGCAACGGTTCTTAGGTAAGTATAAACATTGGTCGTGAACAATTTATTATTTATATATTCTATTTCAATGATGTCATGAGTTTCTTAATTTTTTTATGTTCGATATTGACTGATTCTGATCCAATTGAACATGCAGAAAATCTCGCGATCTTAGCTATGTTTCTCTTATGTATGTTTTGCATATGTATGGTTCGTTTAATTCTTGATTTACATCGGCAACATGCTTTTGTTCCTCTTGAAGAATCAATTCTGAAGTCTTTGCCAATTAGGGTTTTCAAACCAGAAGAATTCAAAGATGGTTTGAAATGTGTTGTTTGTCTTTGTGATGTTGTTGAAGGAGAAAAAGTTAGAGTTTTACCAGAATGCAATCATGGATTTCATTTAGATTGTATTGATAAGTGGTTTCAATCTCACTCTACTTGTCCTCTTTGTAGGAATTTAGTTTCTAATGAATCCTCTATACCTAATAGTGCTACAAATGCTCAAGAGATCAATGTGTCAATATGTTAGTGTGTAACTTTGTTAAATCACTTTTTGCTAATGCGTTAGTTTATTGAGAATGTGTGTTGTAAATATATTTTTTTGGTAAAATATTTATTTATTTATTTATTATTTAAAATTAATTTTCTGGTTTAGTATGATTTGATTTAAATAAAAAGATTGGGGATGACACATTCACACAATCAGTGTAATATAGTCCTTACTATCAAAATCTAATGGTTTCTATTAATATTCAATAAACATATTAAAATTATTATGATAAATCAATGGTTGAGATCACCCTACAGTTAGTAAATTAGTAATTGACCGTAGGGAATCCGTTTCTATTTCTTTAATCTATAACAACTATATATAAAGACAAAATATAATTTTGGTGTAGTCTTTTTATTCCAATCTATAATTATATTTAAAGGTAAAATATGGTTTTGATATAACCTATTTCCTTTACTATCTATTAAATGGAAGTTTTTATATCTATTTAATTTTATTTTTTAAATCATTTTATAAATAACAAATGTTAAAATTAAAAATTAATGCATAAAAAATACTGTTAATATTTTCATCCGCTCGCACACTAAAGAAAGCGGACATAAGTGTTTGTCTGGATGCTGGTAATTGATTAAATATTATAAATATATATTATGTAATTTCTACGTGTTGTACTCCAAAATTTTCTCTCTCATTTTATCAAGATTTTTCACAAGACTTCTTGGACTCAAGGCAGGATTAGGGATTGCCCAGCTCAAGACACCTCATCTTGCACTGATAACCCAAAATAAAGGTTTGAGTTTGCACAAGGATTTTTGGACCACCAATGTTTCATGTGACTTTCATACATCATGTTGGACCCCTAAGATTGCTCATGTTAAGTTTCAAGCCTTGAACCATATTTTTGATCAGTCAATTGGGCAGTTGACCTAGAAATCAGCTGTATTGGGGAAAAAGTCAATCATGGCCTATTTACAGTCAAACTTCATGATTTTTGATCCACATCAACATTTTAGACTCATATGTACCATTTGATCAAGTTTGGATCACAACTCCTCAAGAAATTTGATCAAATCATCAAAAGGGCAAAATGGTCAAAATTAGGATTTTGACTGAGAAAAGGAATTTTCTGATTTTTAACCTAGCCAATGACCATTTGAGTTCAAACATGATTTCAAGGGTTCAATGGCATCATCTTGACCTAATTACATGGTTCAAAATATCTCAAGTTCATTGGATTGACAGATGAATTTTGCAGTCAACTGATCAAAAGTCAACTGTACACTGAAAAGTCAAACTTTGACTTTTTGGTCAAAATCAAGTGCCAAGGGTCATAATTCATCAAGATATATCAAAATATGAAACTTGTTGACCAAGAAAACCAATTTTGAAAATTAGGATTTTGAATTTGAAAATTTTCATAACTTAGAATTTTTCTAAATATGGAAATTTTCTTATTTTTTCCTAACTTTCCACCACTTTTTCATCATGATGCAATTTTATTAAAAGAAAACTTCCAACATGAAAGTTGTATTCCTCCATGAAATCTACAACTTTGCTTCACAAACTTTTCCCAAAAGATGCTTAGATCTCAAGTTATGAATTTGTGAATATAGGTCTATGAACTAAATACTTAGTGAAATTTTGCCCTAATTTATGCAGTTTTTTGACCCAACTTCATGGACATTTTTCACCTAGTTCCAAGAGGTATCTCAAAATGCATTTCAAAGATGGATTATAGAGCACATGACAAAATTTCCAAAATGTCCAAGAACTCTCCAAGATCATTTTTGGTTAGGGAGAATCGAAGAGGAGAAGTTGGAATTTTATCACTTTTGTTCAAGCCATTTTTACATGAGATCGAGTTGCAAATCAGATCCATGATGCTTGTACCTTGCTTTACAGGTCCTAAACTCATTCTACACTCCATAATTAAATTCAAACTCAGAAGACAAAGGCATTATCTTGGCTTTTGGAGCATTGTACAAGAGATAATTCCATTAATGGCATAAAGGTTACAATGCCATTTTCATAAAGGTGAGATTTTGCAACTTTACAAATCTTGAGCCTTGGACCTGTCCCTTTGGTACAAACAACTTCCATAGGTTTCAAGCAATGTATACCAACTCTCTGCAGCTCACAAACTAGCCAAGTACAAACATGTTGCACAAGTCATTTCACTTTTCTTAAAATGCAAGAAAGTTGGCCAAAAGGTGGAAAACTTGTACTACTAGTAAGAGTGGACTTTGTATCCATTTTATACATATTCACAAACTTGTTACAAACTAGAGAATGAATGCTTGACATCTGAAACACTCCAAAACTCCAAAACTTCATTTTTCTGCCCAAACATCCAGTTTTTGCAAAACCATAGCAAACTCATTTTTTGCTCGTGCGTTTTGTGGCTTGGTACTTGAAACATATTATCCACGTCATATCAAAAATATCCAAGCCCTTACCCTGCATCTGTAAGCCCTATTTCATCCATTTCCATTTTCAAACTTGGAGCTTGCAGCTTGACTTCTACAGAGAGTTCTGGCCATCCACAAAGCAAGCTAGGTATTGGAATAGTTTGAAGGAAGTTCAAGGAAGCTCACACGATTCTCAGACCTCCCTCAAAGTCCCCACATTGTCATATGCAAATCTAGCTGAAGGAGGTATTTTTCTCAAACTCTATCTCTGTATTTAGGCATCCTCAAGCCACGATTTGTGAAGCAAAAATGTAGTCCTTAACATGGTGAAGTTGTACATATGCATACTTTCCATTTATATTAACTATGCTGTGAGAATTGGAAGCTTGAAGTTCATGAAAAAGTTAGGTCACGAATTAGGGCCATTAAAATTCTCCTTGATCTTTTAGAGTTAGGTCCAAATTTTATATGGTTGAAATCGTGAGATTAAATGCCACAAGTTTCATGTTATGGATTTTTGTTTTTGTGCAAGCATTAGCAAGTTACAGTTTGAATCAAAACACGCGCGCGAGGAAGAAGCTGGAGGACAGGGATGACTGGCTTGGGCTTTTTGGCGCGCCTGGCCTTTTTGTTTCTGATTTTCACACCCCCTGGATTACTTTTGCACCCCCTGACTATTTTCTTATATTTTTGCATTTTCTTGCATATTTTTATATTCATTAATTGCATATTTTTTTTCTAATGATAAAAAATATCCAAAAATAATTTATTTATTTTCTCATTTTTATTTTATAATTATTTTTTGCATAAAAAATAGTTTATTTAATAGAATAGATCCTTTTTTTTTAAATGATTTGTAAATATTTAAAAATACTTAATATTTTTTATCATATTATTTATACTCATAAAACACTTATTTTCTATACATATTTAATTTTTAGTATTTGCACATAATATTCTTATACAAAAATGGACAAAATATTAATATAGAACATATATTTTCTTTAATTAAAAAATTAGGGTTTCCCCCTTCCAAAAATAATAATGTTATTTTTCCTTATTTTCTAGGTTTAGTTAATTTATTTTCTCATACAAAAAATCAAATACAAAACATTTTTTGCATAAATACATTTGCATTGTGTGATCGGTGGGAATGAGAACTGACTGTTTTGGAATGCTGGTTCGCGTTTGCGTTTTTTTCCGCAAAATGTCGCGGTAAGCAAGAGTCGCCACTGTCTTTTATTTTATCCAACAAGGAAAGGACAAAAGCACAGAAAAATTCCTTTTCGATATGTTTCTCGGGTTCGGGAGGTAGATTATAGAAAGGGAAGGTGTTAGCACCCTTTATATTTGTGGTTATCCACGGGCTCTTAGGTACTTGCTCACTATGTTTTCAAAAGTTTGCTTTTCTTTGTGTTTGTGGGTTTTGAAAAGAGTTTTGTTTTTGAAGAGAGTGTAAGTGCGAAAAGTTTTGTTTTGTTTTTAAAAGGAGCAAGTACTTAAGAACCTCTACCTACTCAAAAAGGAATTAAATTGTGCAAATGTCCTTTAGACAGTGCTATCCCACTATTGAGGAGTAGGTAGCACCATCGTTGGAGTTTTCGGGTCAATTCGATTTAAGGGACGTGTAGTCACTAAAGCAATGTTAGGATGCTTTAGCGGTAACCCTAATGTCTTAGATCATTTTTATCGAGGCAACCATTTCGAGGCAACTTGTGATCTTTGGACAGGAGGGCGACCTCTAAGACTTCCTATACTCAATGACCACGTTTGAGGCGACCAAGTGAGGTGTACCCTAGGAGTGGCATGTGCAAGTGTGTCAATTTTCAGTTATATTATCTTTGCATGTCATGGTGAGATACTGTTGATTTTAAGTTAAGAGTTAATCTTGTCATGCATAGCCTAGTTAGCATACATCTAAACAGTTAATATATGTACAGGAATTTAAAGTGCGGGAATTGTAAATCCTACGCTATTACAAGGCTTCGGGGAGGGGGATTATTTACATGTCCAAAATTAGGGAAATAAAGCAGTAAAGTGTAAAAGGTCTTAGTTAAGCTATTACAAACCAGTAGGCAGTTACAATAAAATAAACGCGCGCGAAAAAAATTGAATCGGAGTGTCCTAGAGTTTTGACCCTTTTTTTATTAAATAAAGCGTATTTTTGGTCTTTTTTTATTTAAGAATTATGACTAACTAATTATTAATTAATTGAAAAGAAAATATTTTTTGATTTTTATTTTATTTTGAGAAAATGATCTAAATCTACTTAATTTTAGTTTTTTTGAAAAAAAATGATCTAAATCTACTTAATTTTAGTTTTGGAAAAACGTTAAGATAATTAAAAGATTAATTAACAAAATTAATTTAATAGGAAAAACTAGCCTAATGTTTTTGTGTTTTTGATTTTATGTTGATTAAAAAAAAAGAATAAAATAGTCAAAATAAGGACAAAAAACGAAGGAAACAGGCAGCAAATAAAAAAAAGCATAATTCTAGAGGCTTGGGTCGAAAGAGGTGTGGGCTGTCTTTCGACCCAGTGAAGAGGCTTGATCGAAGGTGCATGAGGGGCTGCACTTTAGGGGTGTTCGATCTGGATATGTCATCCTT